GTTGGAATAATTAGAATGATCACATGTAAACTGAAAAATAACAAGTAATGACGTGTAAAGTAATACGATTCAGTGTAATCTTAATATTTTACAGTGCATAATAATATATATTCTCTGAGTTAAGGGTCATCCTGCGAAACCAGTGGACCCGAATTCCACGAAAAGAGAAAAGTTAATCTTTTATTTCGTCTTGTTGAGAATCAGGCCACGCCCATGTCAATTCAGTATGTATAGTGAGTTAACACGGAGGCAATATGGTACTCACTGCAACGTCAATTTATGCTCCTAAATAGGCATAAACTGCCTGTGTCCAAGCTCAGGACTTGAAAGATGTCCTAACGAATAAGACCATATGTAACTTATATGAGGCCCAAACTCGAATATGCAGCCCCCTTTTGGAATCCACACTTGAAAAAGCACATAGCTAAGCTTGAAAAAGTTCAAAGACATGCCACGAAACTGGTGCCAGAAATACGCAATATCTGTTATGATGAGAGGCTGGGGGAATTAGACTTACCATCACTCGAAGCTAGAAGATTGAGGGGGGATATGGTGACAGTCTTTAAATTCCTTCATGGTTATGATAGAGTGGATAGGGATCGATATTTTGATATGGCTGGCTCTAGAACTAAGTAAGTACATTATTTTAATTACCAGAAAGTCGCTGCACCGACCAATTCGCGAGCTACAAATCTCCATATATATATATATATATATATATATATATATATATATATATATATATATATATATATATATATATATATATATATATATATATGAATCATTTTTTACCCCGACCGGGACTCGAACCTAGGACTTATAATTACTATGTCAAGGCGCTACCAACTACACACCACACCTTCTGTGGTCTGTAGTTGGTAGCGCCTTGACTTAGTAATTATAAGTCCTGGGTTCGAGTCCCGGTCGGGGTAAAAAATGATTCATGTTTTCACATATGTTTTCACACACACACACACACACACACACATATATATATATATATATATATATATATATATATATATATATATATATATAGTATATATATATATATATATATATATATATATATATATATATATATATATATATATATATATATATATATATATATATATATATATATATATATATATATATATATATATATATATATATATATATATTCAGTTGTTTACCAGGGCCACGTTAGTTAAGTGGTAGTGTGCACAACTTGCAATATGACACGAAATGCACGACCAAGTCCCGGGCGTTAAAGAAGGCATCCAGTCTTAATGTTTCAGCACCAACCTGTATCTCTTCTTGTCTTCAAGGGATGCAGTCTGAAACTCCTTACGTACTTTGATGGTATGGTAGAATGCTGTGGGTTCTTATCCTAGTCAGGCCCATTTTTTTTTTCACTCATATGATAGGTAACGTGTTTATTTTAATCATATTTAGACAAAATTACTGTAGCTCTGCCTTTGCAGCGGGTCTCCGCTAAGATAAGAGTCAGGCTATTAGGTTTTGGCAACACTGCAGTTAATTGACCGCCCAACCCCCTTTCAATCGTATCCTAGGAATTAAAAGTTATTCATCCAGAAAATATTTCACGTTGGCGCTGAAATATATTTTTTTAATTTAATATAATTATTTGATAGCGTACTAAAAAAAATTATTTTGAACTACTTAATGTTAGGGATAAGGGAGAAGTTTTCAATCGCGGGACTAGTCTCAAGTGGAGCCATATTGGACGTGAAGTCGTAGGCGCTCGATTTGAACGTGGAATGACATTGAAATAATTTTACTCATAGTAAAACGCACATAATATCACACTTTGGCAATGTTACCATAATTCGAAAACCAAAGAACAGAGAATCAAAGCAGGCTTGTCTCGAGATCATTCTGTAGCATTGCCTTACATGAAATTATATGTCCATTTCATTCTCAATCAAATCAAATTTTTGCGTTTCCCATCAGGGATCTCCACAGTGGATCAATCAATCGTCTTCGTATCACCCTAACCCCTGAGGTGCCTATAGGGACTTATTTTTTCAAGATGGCAATTTCCGGAGCTCTTTGTCAGTGTTTTCACAGGCACTCAAATTCATGTACTATGATTACAATGAGACAGTGTCACCTGACACTGTCCTTTGCTATCGGAAGAGTCCTGCTCACCTCAGTCTGACTTTAGTGGTAAATTAATCCATATATATATATATATATATATATATATATATATATATATATATATATATATATATATATATATATATATATATATATATATATATATATATATATATATATGAAGTATAATAGTGTAAATTAATATTGTGTTTATCGATGTTTGCTTATGGAATGTTTCTATATGTCTCAAATGCCTTCGAAAACCTTTATATCTCTTTGAGCAATGTAACTGACATAATTTGTAGGTACAGTACTTGCAGACAGTAAGCAGGCATGTGATGTAACGACATGAAAGTGGTGATATGCCACAGTAATGGTACATGCAAAGAAAATACTCTGGTTATATAAACGTTAATAATAACGTAAATTAATCACAGATGCAACAGTTAGCAAGTTGCTACGTTTTCAACCTGTCGAACTTTGCAGGGCGAATACCGTGTGACGTCACGCGGGAAACATGAAGTAGTCAGGTTGGACTGGCGGACGTACGTCATCACAAGTACACGCTGGCATATCAACATATTGCGATGTTTGCTAGCGTTATCATTCACTGAATTTACAACGGAAGTTTTACTGACGGCATCCGATCCGATCGGATTAATTTGGGAACTAACTTAGATTAGTCGAAAGTTAAACCCTCACCGATATGTATAGTAACTTTTGAATGAGTGAATCCTGGAAAAAAAAAATAATAGTTACAGAAAGAGTCTACCCAAACAATGAATCAAACCAAAACTTATTGGTACGGAAACGAATAACGGCTTGGATGGAGGGTGGGGTGGGATTAGTAACCTTTGGTGTAATACCCACATTTGTATATTATCATTATGTAAGTCATATATTGTCAAGTATTTTATACTTAAAAGGGATCTTTTTATTAATTTATTTATTTTATGATATTTAAGTAATATATAACCTTTCCCGTGGCTTATTTTCTCGCCAGAATTGTGACTTTTTATCCAGCTCTCTGATAAATAACAGCTGCTAATCGCGGTAGTATTGTTGGGGAGGGGGGTACAGTTTCTGTCGTAGACAGCTAGCAGCGAAACATCATAAACTGTACCTCCTGCTTCTCAGAGTCAGACGGTATTTTGCCATTTTACCAGTATCATGACCAAGTGTTATTGTGGCGAGAAAGTTACGCGGTAATTAAAGAGGCAACTGACTCGTTCCATAGGTAAGGTAATCACAGTAGACAGTTTTGGAGTCATTGATATGCTGGACAGGTTTCCAGTTTGCTATATTTTTGGAGCAAAAAAATTTGTTTGCCCCAAATTTCCCAAGGAGTAGTCGGTGTTTCTTTTCTTCATTTCGTAGAAAGTTTTTTGTAAGTATGTTTAGTAATTACTCCAGGTATAATAATAATAATAATATTATTAGTATATTATTTGCAATGTCCTAGCTTTCAATATAAAAAATTCTCAAGACATTGACCTCAAATATCCTCCACCACCAACCCCCCCATTACGTTTCTACTCCCAGGGCGCCTCTTAAGGCATAGAAATATAGTGGGGAGGGAAAGTAGTTAACAACACACAAAATGTATGTTTAGGGAAACTTCTAGGCATCAATAACAAATTCCATGAGACTATGTCAGTATATTTAAGCATAATTGTTTATAAAAAAAAGAAAGATTGCACCCGAAGTTTGTTCGTAGCACTCTGTATAAACAAATCAGCTCTCAAGTAAAAATCAAACGATATCATCCCAAGACTATGATTTACGTAAATGGAGAAGAGGATAGGACCAAGTACTGATCCCTGTGGAACACCAATGATACATGTTTTGGCATAAAGATAATGTTAAGACGTATAGACTGGAAAAGGGCTGTGTATTAAAACGTTACGTAGTGCACCGGGCCAGCGGAGCGTCTCCGCTCTGGCGTCGGCAGGGCGCGCCCCGTCCGGCGAGGGCAGGCTGCCTCGCGTAGGTACCGCCCGTCTTCGCGGGCCCGTCCGCCCTTGGTGGGGCGGCGCCGGTCGTTCGCGGGCCGCCCTTGAGGGCGCCCGTCGCCGGCGGGCATTCGTCGACACTGCTAACTGTACTGTCGTGCCTCTTGCACAACTAATAAAATGCGATAAGGAGGGGGGGAGGGAAAGCAGTGAGTAGATAGTGGCAGTGACTCACTGCATTTGTGAAGTACGGTATTTATTGCGTATTCCGTGATTATTACTTTGTGAGGGAATGTATTTTATTCATTCATTCATTTTTGTAAATGTGAATTTGATTTTCAGCAGTCAAGTAACCTAAGTAACAACATTGTTTTTACATAATTTCATTTTTTTTTCTCTCCTGGTTAGCACATATATTGGAATTTATCTGAAGATTTGACTGTGAGCGTAGCTGTATATTAAATAAATAATATATAATATATATATATATATATATATATATATATATATATATATATATATATATATATATATATATATATATATATATATATATATATATATACACGCAGTTTTCGTATTCGAAAGGTAACTTACACGATCTGGCTATACTGTCAGTAGGACATCTTCAATTGAACGAGTAAGTACGCTTCTCACGTTTGAGAAAAAGAAATATGATTTTTCCACGAAAATTTCGTAGTTCTTTTCAAAAAACTTCGCGCATTTACAACAATTAAAATCTGTATGTATGTTTAACAACTACAGTGAACTGAACATGTAGTACACGAAGAAATGGGCAGATAATTAGCTGTACGAAATTACGAACGTCCTGTAACGTCGATTTTGTGCTCAAAACGTTTTGTGTTCGACGAAAACAGTTGCACAAAAAGGTAAAACTGCGCATTAGATTTTTCATATGAAAAAATATGATTGAGGGCCTCGGTAGCTCAGTGGTAGAAAACTCCTTTCTAGAAATGACGTGTCTGACGAATGCGGATTCAGTCCCTCCGCGGGGCATATGGAAGGGCATCCAGCTTCAATCGCCCAATTCCTTCATGCCTCTATCACTATTCGAAAAGTAACTAATGGAGACAAAACGTTGAAGTAAAATAAGGGTAATACTGTATAATTATGTATTTGTTATTTCATGTATATAGGGCCTCCTGTGTTATCTTCATTATTATTTTTCTTTTTTAATCACTATTAATAATTTTATTAATTCACAATGAGAGTAGAATGTTTACGGTATATATATATATATATATATATATATATATATATATATATATATATATATATATATATATATATATATATATATATTTATATATATATATATATATATATATATATATATATATATATATATATATATATATATATATATAATTCTATTTCACGAAACACACGTAAATATTGTAAATGTCAATTGTTGTGACTACGTAATGAAATTGCAAGTTTTGAGTTGCTTAGTACTTTCAAGTGTATTACTTCAGATTCCTCTGATCATAAGTAGTACACTTGTGAAAGTACTAAGGATCTCAAAATATTTTTTAATTTCCTTACTAATAGTGACATCTAAGAAAAAAAATACGTGGATACATATAGTATATATTATCAAAGGAAAATATGTTTATTATCCACGATATTTTTCAAGTTGATATCAGATCTACCTTACAAATAAAACGGGAATAAAAAGGCGACTGACACTTATCATGGACAGTTGATACGTCAGCGGAAAGTAATCCAGTGAGCGTTTAAAAGACCCGCCCTGACCGGTAGGCACCCTTGGCCATACTGAAGACTGAAGCTCTCGAGTCTCGACTACCTCTATGAACATGTGAGGCAACTACATGTAGATTATTATTATTATTATCATTAGTAGTAGTTCCGTGATGTTCCGGTTTTACGTCACGGACTCCCTTATCTACCAAGGGCTAGGACTGTTGCCTTCTTGCGAAGGACTTGTTTTGGCAGATGTAATCCTTACGCTGAGTGCAGTAGTTATTATTATTATTATTATTATTAAATATTATTATCTTTAGTAGTAATTATTATTATTATTATTATTATTATTATTATTAATATTATCTTTAGTAGTAATTATTATTATTATTATTATTATTATTATTATTATTATTATTATTCAGTATTATTACTGTTTCATAAAATTATATCCAGCATACTAATTTGATACCCCTTTCCATAGTTTGTCTAATATAATGCCCTAAAGACAAAATATATAGGTGGGTGTGTGCCTCTTCACTTTAATCTCTCGGTTTATATCATATTTATGCCTACCTTCGAATTCCTTCCCATCCAGACCCCCATTTCTGTGATGATACATGAATGGGGCTAAAAAAAAAAAAAAAAAAAAAAGCTCTCCGATACCGATGGCCTACAACCGTTCACTCGAAACCATCTCCCCCCCCCCTCCATCCGATGTAAACCAACTTAGAACGTCATTAAATATGATTTGTCTATTTCAGGACACTTTGTTTCTACCAACTTAGAACGTCATTAAATATGATTTGTCTATTTCAGAACACTGTTTCTTCGTAATGTATATGTTTATTTTGCGTGACGACTTATTTCTTTACTATAAATATGTATGCGTTTACTCTCGTCTATGCATAAACATGGTATTTCTGCTTATAAATTTTAAGTATGCAGGAATGTTCCTATGTAGTCTGTGTAGTATATGACCAGAATTATTTCAAGACACTTTATTTCTACATACTGTACTTATAAAAGTTTGTCGTATAGTTGAGTATCCTAACAGAAGTCGTAATGCTAGATTTTCTCTACAGCGTCCCCGGGCGAGGGAGGTATTGCAGCAGCTCTACAGTCGTCGACAGCCCTGTTCAAACTGTGGGGAAATGAACCATGACCTTTCCCACTGTAGGTTTAACTATACACTTAAATGTGGTCATTGCCGTGAACATGGCCATAAAACAAGATTATGTCCCTTAAATATATAGCAATCACATTGTACTTCAGGCTTATTGAAATATCTCATAAATATACAACACATCAATGAACAATCACTTTTGGGTAATTTCGACAATATTGAACTAATGATCAGAGAAAATAACGTAGATATAATGTGTGTTTGTGAAACTTGGCTCCTATCTAATATAATAATAATAATAATAATAATTTTATTCAGCCTCCAGAGGAGATAAATAGCATACATAGAAATACAATAGGATTTTGCAAAAACACATAATTATATATTACATTGCATGTTCATATTTATGTAAGAACAATTTTAAAATGGAGACAGCAGAGCATTCATCATTTCCCTATTCTCTTTATTCAGATTGCTAGTGAGAACTATAATAGAGTCAACTAGTCCATCATTTTTTGAGAATACTGTTTTGAAGTTATTTTTAACATAATGATTTTCACATATTGACTTCACAAAGGACAAATTGAATTTTTTACATGTATTCATTACTCTACCAACTAGGTTTCTTTCATCTCTTTTTTTATTGCTTAAGTACAATCGTAGAATATAATTGTAAAATTTTGCAGTTCGTGAACTTGAAAGCATACAATTTTTAAGTAATGTAATCTCCTGCTGTCTAATAGAAAAACCAATACGTGGAATCTTCATTGCATCAAGCAGGGGTGTACTTTTACATGTGTGTTTTAAGTTTAGTGCTGATTTTAAGAGTTTACTCTGTAGTTTTTCTGTCTCTTCCATTACTTTTTTTGCTTTGTGAGACACACTGATGCCCATATATGAGCACAGGGCGTATCGCTGTGTTAAATAAGTATGAAATTGATGCCGCTTCAGAACCATTAGAAATATGCAGTCTGGTTTTGTTGCTATACCTGGGTATTCTTTTTATCGATTTGATGGCGGTAGGGGTGGGGGTGTATGTAAGAGATCATCTAACGGTCACCCTATTTAAAACCCCTGAAGTCGAGCAACCTCCTCATCTCGAGGACATTTGGTTGACTGTTCAGAGTGGGAAATTCCCTTCCTTCATCCTGGGATGTGTATATAGGCGCCCTCATGCACTCAACGACACCTTTGATTACATCTCCGAGGTATTTCGGTCTGTCTGTTTGAGGAGCAAACCTTGCATTATTATAGGCGATTTCAGTGACAAGCATTTTCTTCCTAATATTAAAATAGAGAAATTAATTCAATCCCTCCACGGAAATCAGCTTGTGAATAAAGCGACCCGTATCACCGCTAATTCCTCCAGCCTAATTGATCTTATAATTACCAATACACCTAGTTTTATAGTTCACCACGATGTCTTACCTTGTCCCGTGGGAGACCACGAGCTTCTAATAGCTAAAGTTAATGTCAGGAAAGAAAAGAGACCGCCAATCGTTAAAACTTTCCGCTCTCAAGAATTATTCTCAAAATTGTTTTTGTGGCATTCTTCTTAATGAATACAACATTTTAAATTCAATATTATCTACAGATTATGTAAATTATCAAGTTTCTACTTTTACTGATGTTTTTACGAGATGTTTAAAAATGAATGTGCCCCTCTTACAACCAAAGTCATGACACGCCCTCCTGCCCCGTGGATTGACTCTCAGTTAAAAGAGCAAATGAAAAGAAGAGATGACCTCCTAAGGCAATTTAAATCCGATAGACAAAACTCCGAGATGGAAAGAGCCTATAGAAGAGAAAGAAACCTTACTAAAACAATGTTGTCCGAAAAGAAGAAAAATCATTTCAGGAAAGAATTTTCCAAGTATAGGGGAAATATCAAAGGACCTTGGAATGTTATAAAAAGAATAATTCCTGCAACTAAGGAAATCTTAGACAATTCTGACCTTCTCAATGATAATGTGGAAAAGCGAGTGAATGATTCTAATAAGTATTTTGCTAAAATAGGTAAGTCCACGTATGAAAAGTCCCAAGATAATGACTTAATTATTAATCAGCCACTTAATTGCCAGCCTCCAGCTGAAAGAAATATTATCAATAATTTTAGACCGCACCCAATCGATTTAGTCACACTTATTCTTATCATAAAGAACCTCACACCAACAAACTCTTGTGGTTCCGATGGGAGACAACTTCGCTTCCTAATTGACTCATTGCCAGTTACAGTTTTTTTTCATTCTAGTCATTGTTAATACATCCATTGTTACAGGCATTTATCCTAACCTCTGGAAGCATCCCTATATCATCCCCGTTTTTAAGAGTAGAGATACTAATAATGTTGAAAATTATAGGCCAATCTCTCTTCTCAGCATCCTGTCTAAAATACTAGAGAAGGTAGTTGCCACCCAGTTGATAAATTTCCTTAAATCAAATTGCCTACTATGTGAGGAACAACACAGTTTTCGGCCTAAACTTTCGACCGAGACGGCCCTACTTAAAATATAGTAATATTAAAAATAAGAAAATATCACTTTTATTATTGTTAGATTTGTCTAAAGCATTTGACAGTGTCCACCATCAAATTCTAATTACCAAATTTCCAAAGTTTACGTTGACTCGTTTTGGTTCGAAAATTATCTGAAAGATCGAATTCAATCAATTCGAATGGGCTCGACTCTCTCTTCTTCTTTAGATATCAATTTTGGTGTTCCTCAGGGTTCAATTTTGGGTCCTCTGCTTTTCCTAATATATGTTAATGATTTACCTCAATTTATAAGAGATTGCCTACTTGTTATGTATGCTGATGACACCCAGATTATGCTTACTGGTGACATTGATAGAATTCCTGAAATCTTAAAAAGGGCTGAAGATATATTAAACTGTGCCAAAAGTTATTTTAACAGTAATGGTCTCTTACTGAACGAAAATAAAACTAAATTCGTTATTTTTGGATCAAATCAATACCTGTCCCGCATTCCTGAGAACATCAGTATAAATTTCAACAATGTTTCACTCTTCCCATCTCATAAGGTTAAAAATCTAGGAGTTGTTATGGACAGTACCATGACGTTTAATTTTCATATCGATGAACTACATAAAAAAGTGAACGGGACCCTTATTTACTTGAACAGAGTCTATGAAAGATTCGAGCCTGATT